ATCAATGTAAACCTATGTATACAAAGATATTGAAACTGTTTTTCCGGTCCCGCTAAAATACTCTATGCAAACATATATACAGGGTGAGGCATTTATAGTGACGCGGGCGTATTTCTCGGAAACGAAGCGAGATATTAAAAAATGTTTCAGACAAAAGTTGTTTGGTTCGAAGGGGGACATAAGATGGTGCCATTGATGTGACCTTGGATAGTCATTTAAAGGTCACATGAAGGTCACTTTCAATTTCTTAAATGTTCTCAAAAAATTGGCGCCCGTTAATCTTGTTGCATTACTGCCACGAAAGGCCAGAAAGCATTTTCAGGCCGTATCTCGGCCGTAAAGCGATACACTAGAGGAATAAGGATAGCGTGATCGTTGATTCTTTTCTATCTATCCTCTCCACGGTGCGCCTACCATAGATGCAAGTTTTGCGTTTTGTACCCGCTGCCAGCGCTTGTAGAGGCGATACGTACACAAGCGTGAACCGTGTACGTATAATGCGCAGAACTCTTTGCTAACTCTCTCTATTACATGTATACGGTTCACGCTTGTGTACATATCCCCTCTACACGCGCTGCCAGCGAGCACAAAACGCAAAACTTGCATCACTAGCGTCCACGCGAGCAATTCAATTGCGTGTGTGCATATACAGACATATCCACCACGTAAAGACTGAGAATTTATTAGGTGTACAACTTTGCTTCCGCCGTTTTCCTATAGATGGCTTTAGCGGTAAGTAGTGGTCGAAATAAATAGATCATAGACGTCATGCAATAAACTTGGGCATCTGTCAACATAATCCCATAGAAACATTAGTCGATTTGTGTCTGCATCATAAAGTTATTCTCGATTGAAAATGTCAGTTTACGAGCCAAATTCTCGTCATTTGCGGGGGGTTTTAATTTTCTGCTTCAATATGAAGAAATCTGCGGCTGAGACTCATCGAATGCTCTGAAATACTTATGGTGAGGCCGCTATTAGTGAAAGAACGTGTCGTGAGTGGTTTCAACGCTTCAAGAACGGTGATTTTCACGTCGAAGACCGGCATAGCGGTGGAAGAGAGAAGGTTTTCGAAGATGCAGAATTGGAGGCATTACTTAATGAAGACTCGAGTCAAGAAGAATTGGCACTATTATTGGGAGTGACTCAACAAGCAATTTCAAAACGCCTCAAAGACATGGGAATGATTCAGAGGCAAGGAAATTGGGTGCCATATGAGTTGAAACCGAGAGATGTTGAACGGCGTTTGTTTGCTTGTGAATAGTTGCTTGAAAGGCAAAGACGGAAGGGATTTCTGCATCGCATTGTGACTGGGGACAAAAAATAGGTTCGTTACGATAACCCTAAGCGCAGAAAATCATGGGGATATCCCGGCCATGCTTCCACGTCGACGGCCAAACCGAATATTCACGGCTCCAAGGTCATGCTCTGTATTTGGTGGGACCAGCTCGGCGTAGTGTATTATGAGCTGTTAAAACCGACTGAAACAATCACAGGCGATCGTTATCAAACGCAATTAATGCGTTTAAGCAAATCTCACGCCAGTTCAAAAATTGCAATATTTAAGATCATCGTTGACGGACGAAGCCGTCCAAGTAATTCAAGCGCTAGAGACTTCATCTCAGAATTACGACGTAGCTTGGGCCCTTATAGTAGAACGTTACGATAATAGACGAATAATAATCCAGACTCACATTCGCGCACTTTTTGAATTGCCGGTAATAACCAAGGAATCGCCAACACAATTACGGTCGTTAGTCGATGCTGCTTTAAAGCACACACGAGCGCTCCACGCTCTTGGTCAGCCGACAGAAACGTGGGACGCGTTGCTTTTTCATCTGATAACGTCAAAGCTTGATCGAAATACCCACAAGGAATGGGAACGCTCTCTTGATGGCACTAATATGCCCTCCATTGACGATTTCTGGAAATTTCTAAAAAATCGTTGTCATGTTTTGGCGAGTGTGAATCAAGAAGTTTTGATCCAATCCATAAAGAATCAAACGCAATCAAACAATGCGCGATCTAACTCAAATCAAAAGACACAACAAAGTCTCGTAACAGCGCACGCTAAGAGCGAATGCGCATTTTGCAAACAGAGTCATAACATAGTTTTATGTGAGCAGTTTCTCAAATTGGATCGGAATGCGAGATCTGCCATGGTGAGGTCCCTGGGGCTCTGTTATAATTGTTTGAGGCCGAATCATGTGGTAAATAATTGCAAATCCGGTACGTGCCGTAAATGCAAGCGTAAGCATGACACTCTTCTCCATTTTGAAAGCGATTCAGCCGTTCAAGAACCTACTAATTCGAGTACAGTAAACGCTAAGCCAACCGCAAGCCTTCAAGCCATTGTCACATCACAAGTTCTTTTATCAATGGCAACAATACTTATAGTAAACAACCGCGGAGAGAATGTAGAATGCAAGGTTTTACTAGATAGCGGATCTCAATCTAATTTTGTTACCGGGCAATTGTGCAATGCTTTAAATCTTACAAGGAAAGAAATTAAGGTCCCAGTTTCGGGTTTCAATCAGGGCTTAACGCATATCAAAAATTCTATCTCAACTACTATCAAGTCGAAAAGGGGGGGTTTTGTAGCAGACTTATCCTTCTTGGTAGTCTCTCGAATCACGGAGACCCTTCCCACACAATCAAACGTCATGATTTAGATATTCCCCAGAACATCACCTTGGCAGATCCCGGGTTTTGCAGTCCATCAGAGATTGACGTTCTAATTGAAGCGGAGCTTTTCTATCAGTTGTTATGCGTAGGTCAAATCAGAATGAGCAACTCTGCTTTAATATTGCAAAAAACACGGCTTTAATAAAAAACTCTGCTTTAATATTGCAAAAAACACGGCTATCCGTCTCGGAAACGATGCACAGTCGGGGGTCTGCGTCAAATCAAACTGCGTGTAACCTAGTCATAGGATCTCTAAATGCCCGCGTCGCTAAATTCTGGGAAACTGAAGAAGTTTCGAGCGTCAAACATTTGTCAAGCGAAAGGTCATGTGAGATACATTTTTCTCAGACGTGTTCTAGGGATCCGAGCGGACGATATGTAGTTAAACTACCCTTTAATGATAAGAGACACGAACTTAGAGATTCTTATCAAACAGCGTTAAAAAGATTGTATTCTTTAGAAAGGCGGCTAGAGCGGAACCCTCAATTATACGAGGAATATTCTAAATTTCTCAACGATTACAAGAAGCTTGGTCATATGACTGAAGTCTCAGGTTCAGATGCGACGGAAGGCGGATATTTTATTCCACACCATCCCGTTTTCAAGCGTGACAGTCATACAACAAAACTACGGGTTGTTTTTGATGCTTCTTCAAAGGGTAACAGTGGCATATCTTTAAACAAGGCCCTCCTTGCTGGCCCAACTATTCAGGAAGATTTGTTTTCGATTATCACGAGATTTCGGATCCACCGGTATGTATTAAGCGCTGACATTGAAAAAATGTACAGACAGATTCGTATTCATCCTGATGATCTCAAATATCAAAGGATATTATGGCGTGGAAATCTAAACGAATCAATCAAAATATTCCAGCTAAACACGGTCACCTATGGCACTGTTTCAGCTTCATTCCTCGCCGTTCGAGCATTATTGCAATTGTCCATAGATGAAGAAGAGCGTTATCCGTTGGCGAGCAAAACTCTTCGGGGAGACTTTTACGTTGACGATCTGCTCACCGGCACATCTAGCATCGAGGAAACGCAAGAATTGCGAGACGAACTCATTGAACTACTGGCCCGTGGGGGATTTCACCTTCGGCAGTAGTGCTCAAACGAACCAATGCTTTTAGAACCATTGCTGGAGAGATCCATTGATCGTCACATTTGCTTGAGCGAGTCTGAAACACAAAAAACCTTTGGTAACCACTGGCAGCCACGTGACGATAATCTAGTCCATATCGTGAAACCATTCGACCAACATCAACGAACGGCCAAACGAACCATGCTGTCACAAATCTTTGCTTTTTGACCCCCTGGGACTTCTGGGCCCAGTCATAGTAAAAGCAAAAATAATGCTGCAAAAATTGTGGGAGATCAAATTGGATTGGGATGAATCAGTTCCCATAGACGTTGCCATCGTGTGGAACAAATACAAGGATCAGATTAAGAGTTTAAACAATTTCATCATTCCTCGGCAGATCATTGGAGAAGACGTCACAGGCATCCAATTACATGGCTTCTGTGACGCTAGCGAAAGTGCGTGGACCCGTGTTATACCTGCGATCTACAAGCACTTCAGGGATTAATATGGTTCGTTTGGTCTGCTCAAAAACTCGTGTGGCGCCAATAAAAAGATTAACCTTACCCCGACTTGAATTGTGTGCAGCTAGCCTCCTTGGAAAATTGTACAAAGTTACCATTAAATCAATCAGAAATGATTTGGACAAGGTGTTTTTTTGGTCCGATTCTACGATCGTACTTCATTGGCTCCAAACCTCACCACACAAATTGAAAACATTCGTTGCAAATTGCGTCTCACAAATCCAAGAAAAAACTGAGAAAGGAAGATGGAGGCACGTGCCATCACAGTACAATCCTGCTGACGCTTTGTCAAGAGGACAACTTCCTCACGAATTCATTAACAATAAAATTTGGCAACATGGTCCGAGCTGGCTAGCTAATGATGAATCTACTTGGCCGTCTAATTTGATACCCACTATTGAAATTCCGGAACAACGCCAAATAGTCGACCTGGCAAATGTCCTTGACATTGATATCAATTTGCTAACAAGATTCTCATCGTTCAATAAAATGAAGAGGATCATCGCGTACTGCCTACGTTTTTCTGCTTACTTTCGATCGCAGAAAAAGGTGGGGGAGGATCTCAACACGGAAGAATTAAAAGAAGCCGAAATGCGCATTATAAAACTAGTGCAACTAAGTAACTTCGAAAACGAATTGCGTAATCTAAACGGGAATCGTATACTAGATAAGAAAAGCAATATGTTAACGCTTAACCCGTATGTAGACGAGATCGGAATACTTCGAGTCGGGGGTCGTTTAAAACACGCGGAATTAGAATTCGATCAAAAACATCCGATTTTGTTACCGTCCAACAATCACATCACCGAACTAATAATTCGCGAAACTCATGTTAAACTTTGTCACGCCGGGAGTCAAGCTACCTTGTATGCAATAAGGCAGAAATATTGGCTGTTGAACGGTAGAAATCAAGTCAAGGGAGTAATCAGAAAATGTATAGTATGCTCTCACTAAAAACCCTCGACTCCCGAGTATCCCATGGGTAATCTACCAAAGACTAGACTTGTAAGTTCAAGACCGTTGAAAATGTAGGCATTGATTTCTGCGGTCCATTTTTAATTAAGGAAAAAAAGCATCGCAACCGCAATAAGGTCAAAATTTATGTTGCTATATTTGTATGTTTGGTCACCAAGGCTGTTCATCTGAAAATTGTAAGTGACCTAACCACTAAAGTCTTTATAGCCAGTTTAAAGCGATGTTTTGCACGTCGAGGCAAGGCCCGAGTGATGCAGTCGGATAATGGTACAAATTTAGTAGGCGCGAACAATCATTTGAAGGAGTTATTCAAGTTTCTGGGGGAAACGGAAAATCAACAAGCAATCAATCGTTACCTAGTCAATGAAGGAATACAATGGTCCTTTATACCCCCCCGCTCCCCGCATTTTAGGGGAATTTGGGAAGCCGCGGTAAAAAGCTCTAAGCATCACATGAGACGCACCGTTGGAGATGCTCTCTTCACCTTTGAAGAATTCAACACTTTTGTAATAGAAATAGAAGCTATTCTAAACTCGAAACCACTCACGCCGATGTCGGCAGATCCAAATGATCCACTTGCTTTGACACCGGCCTATTTTCTAATTAATGCGTCCTTACTATCCATTCCAGAGTACAATTTCACGAATACGTGCTCGAATCGCCTTTCCACATGGCAACACATCCAAAAGGTAAAGCAACATTTTTGGGAGCGTTGGAATAAAGAATATTTAAACGAGCTTCAGCAGCGTGCCAAATTAATCTCTAATAAGACACACGGTATTAGCATAGGAGACTTTGTGATACTTAAGGAAGATAATACACGTTACATTGGGTTACCGGTAGAGTAATAGCTGCTCATCCTAGAGACGATGGTGTGGTTAGGGTAGTAACAGTAAAGACTGCGACTGGTGTGTATAAGCGATGCGTAAAAAAGGTATCTCCTTTGCCAGTAACATAAGATTTCAGCGATACTTTAAGTTTTATTTTGTAATTTCCGTATTCTACTTTATATGATTATTATGTTTTTTATTTTTTGAACATGTCGTTCAAAGGGGGACGATATGTTGAGTCTCGAATAATATATGTACAGTCCTGGGCCTAAGTGGACCCCCTCTCTGCCCGGTTTGGGCGTGCGCGTTAGCCCGACGGGAAGTGCGAACAGTAGTAGCGAGTCACGCACGGCCCTGAGCGCCACGTTATTGTAATCTCGACCAATATTATACCAAAGCAAGGAATAAATGTGATAGTATACATTTTAATTCGTGTCAGTTATTGTGCACCTCAGATATTTAGAACAGAATTATGTGGTCCAGAAACTAAACCTTTTGCCACAATATGTGTCGGTCCGCGTGCATATCAAATATTAAATTAATTGGGCACGTGCGCAGCCGGCCAGTTTTTATATATTTTTTATAAACATTACATCAACCTGTTAATTTTGTCAACAAATTAAATAAACAATAATATTAAGTTATTAAGGAGAAAAAGTGTGTTTTCATGTTTGTTTCCTAAGTCCACTTATGGGATCAAATGCGGTTTCATGCAAAATTATACTTTTATTTAAGTGTCGTCGAAGTAATATATAAATATTGCAAATAATATAAATATCGTTGAATATTATATAAATATCAGAGGATCGTGATTTATCCGGATGATCGCGTCAACAGAGCTTAAGTTAACGAAAATATTGTATCTCGAAAGAAAAAATATTTGCAATAAACAAGCATGTTTTCTCTTATGTTAGATATATTTAATTAAAAATTAGAGAATACCGGAGGCGGATGGTGATCGGGCGCTTAACGCTGATGGCGGCCGGGCGCCGGGTGACGCTGGCGACTGGGTGCCGACTGATGGCGGACGAGCGCCGGTTGACGCAGGCGACTTGGCGCCGACTGATGGCGGACGAGCGCCGGAGGCGGATGGCGATCGAGCGCCTAATGCCGATGGCGGCCGGGCGCCGGAGACGGTTGGCGATCTGGCGCCTAATGGTCGGGAGCTGCTTGTTTTTAGCGTGCCCTTCTCCACCTTCCTCCTCTTGACCACTTTGTGGAGTGGCGTCAGGCGAGTCCTTCGCCGGATGGCGATTTCGGCTACCGTGGGTAGCGGAACGGTATTCCTTATCCGTGGCGTCGTGGATGGTGGTGTGGCGACTGGCGCCGTATTGCTGATCAATGTTAAAAGCGACTTGCGCTGGAAAGTAGGCGACTGGCGCCGAGAACTTTTCTTCCTCTGTCGAGAGTTAGCGCCTAGCGCTTTTTTCTGCCTCTTTCTCCAACGTTTTAGCGACTTGCGCTTGAAAGTAGGCGACTGGCGCCAAGAACTTTCTTCGTTCTTTCTCTGCAGGGGGTCTAACCTATATTCCGGCCGGACGGCTTTCTACTTGCAGGTTGGCCCGGGCGCCTTGCGCCGCCTAGCGGTGCTGCCCGCAACTACGCGCGGACGCGCTATATGCCCGCCGGACTGCTTTCCACATTCTTGTTGTCCCGAGCGCCTTGCGCCGACTAGCGGTGTCTCCCGCACTACGCGCGGACGGGCGAGCGCTTGCGAGAAACGATAATATTTCGCTG